TACTCCCTGAGGTCTGAAACTCCAAGTAGCGAGTATACTCCTCAAGACTCATTGTGATCACCTTTTGGTCCATAGGCACGCTCTCAGGCGCAACATGAGCAGATGTGGTTAGTGAACCAGAAGCTGCCTGTGCAGCTTGTAATTTTCGGCAATAGCTGCGAAGATGTCCAACAATACCACAATAATTGCAAGTACGAGTCTCCCGACCACGACCGGCAGTACCACCACGGCCTCTCCCTCGGTCACGGCCTCCACTGCCACAGCCACCTCCTTTGTTCGTATATAAAGCAGCAGCCTGTTCACCAACCTCTGAGGGGGCGGCTTTAACCTCCTTACGACTCGCAGTACAAAGAACACGACGATAAACTTCTCCAAGAGAAGGAACTCGAGCATCTGAAAGGATTTGTGAGCGAGCAGTGTCAAACTCAGCTCCCAGCCCATTAAGATAGCAAGTGACCAGAAATTGATTTCGTTGTTCTTGAAAAGTAGTCCGACTAGACGTAAACTGGACTAACCGATCAAATACATCAGCAAAGGATTTAAAATCCTCATAATATCCATGCAGAGGCCGACCGGCAGAAGCCGGCTTCAACAACCCACACACAACATCATAGAGTCGCGAGAAATCATTCAGAGAGGAGTATAAATCTGCCAAAGCATCCCATAACTCCTTAACAGTATCAGTATTGCTAACAACGGTCTGAACAGAAATATCCATAGCATTCAATAGTTGACTATAAATACGACAATCAACAGTGTACCCTTCATCATAAGTCGGGTCATCCCTGCTCGGGGGAGGCTGAGTAAGATGATGAGATAACCGCTGTTCGTGCAAATTCTTGAAAACATTCTTCTTCCAAAGTGTGTATGTAGACTGTCCCGTCAAAACACGTTCGACGAGCTTAGACGAAGTAGATATAAAGGTCGGAGCTTGTGACCGCATCACATCAGATCCAGTCGCACCAGATCTATTCATGGCTAATCCAGTCTCACCGGATTCAACAGCAGCATCTATCGGAGTCTCTGAATCACTTGACATAATGATGCGTACTTAATCTAGTCACACCAGATTAATCAGAAAATTAGATTAAAGAAAGAGATCACAAGCTCCACCGTTTCATAGATCCTTGATCAGAACTAGATCAGATCTGGAAGAAGAGAATGACCGACAAAAAGAGAAGCAGGCCGAGAGAGAGAGAGAGAGAGAGAGAGAGAGAGAGAGAGAGAGAGAGAGAGAGAGAGAGAGAGAGAGAGAGAGAGAGAGAGAGAGAGAGAGAGAGAGAGAGAGAGAGAGAGCAGATGGTGGCGACGGTGATGGTGGCGCTGGCTAGGGTTAGGATTTAGGTTGGGGCGGCGGCTAGGGTTGGCTCTGATACCATGTTTGAAGAAGAAGAAAAGAAGAGAAGGGGATGCATGAATTGTCTAACCCTCTAGGTTAGCATGCTCTCTTATTTATACTAATAGTGAGGGTACATAGTAATGTGGTAGACATTCCCACACATGATAGTAAATAATAATAAAATAACTCATAATAACCCGTAACACACCTTCCGTTCTTTCGATGAAGAGAGCTCGTGAATGATGTTGAAATCAACCACTTCTTTGACTGCAATTATATACTAGGAACCACGAGCTCCAATTTCGATATAAAAATATGTTCCAGTGACCCCATCATGAAAGCTTCAGAGAGATTAAGAAACAACATCCAATGAGTGAAGCTCAAGCTCAATCAAAATCCAATATCAAAAGATATTTGATTGTTTGACATAACCCTATTCCCTAAAAACTTCTGTTTTGATCCATCCGTGTGCTCAATTGGCAATAAGATTTTGACGCACCATCATCAGGAGGGTCTCCATCTATTGAATTTACTTTTCTTTCATCAACAACTCAAAGACAACGGAGATACCGTCAAAATCTCCATAGGCAAATGATGTGGGACGAACACTTTCTACCAACAAACTTCAACACAAACAATGAAATTAAAAGTCTGGCTAGTTTTATTTGTATCTAGAGCTGCTTGGACTTCTAACAACTTTTTCTGAGGCTCACCATCTTCTTTATCAAACATTTATCGTGTAACATGATTGACAACAAAGCTATTCCCTCAGTTTCAAGAAGAGTGAAAAATATGCGAAAAAACCAAGCAACCAAATAAAGAAGAGGAGAAGATCAAACTAGAGCATCGGATCCATCAGAAACTGATAATGCTGCCAAAGGAACACAGAATTGCAGGTTACACTCTTCAGAAGTTGACCGATGAAGCTGGTGGATACGGATGAACCATTGACCACCACTTCTCTCAAACACGTTAGTCACTAACTGCTACCTAACCAATTCCACTGAAGCTACACACCCCAAATCCCCTCTTACAAGAACTCTAACTTCTCGCAGCTCGATTTCCAATGGGGAAAATTACCAAAAAAGTTCTAAACCTATTGTAAATGTGACAATTCAGTCTTAAATATTTTTTTGAGCTAATTCAGTCCTAAATCTTTTGTAATTGTGCAAATTCAGTCCATCTCCATGAGCCATAAATAGAAACTCAATAGAAACTCTATGAAATATACATGATACCCAAAAAGGAAAGTTTAATATAGGGAAAATTTCAAAAAGGGGTCTAAAGTGGAGTCATTTTCTCAAATAAGGACATGAAGTGGACATTGTCTCAAATAAGGGTTTGAAGTGGCCAAATCGTCTCAAATAAGGGGCTAAAGTAGCCAAATCGTCTCAAATAAAGACCTTTGGTCAGTCAGTGACTATTGCAATGTCGGAGAAGGGGTATTTTAGTCAAAAAAATTATGAGTATATTTTTTTGATTTTTTTACCTTTTCTTTTCATTTCCTTTTCTTTTCTTTTATCTTTTTTCTTCCCCTCCCTGGCCATCACTGCGCCTGGCTAGCGGAGGTCGCCGGCGTCGGGTGAGGGCCACCCTTGCCAGCCTCGGCGAGGGCGAGGGGGGCCTTCGCTAGCATCAGGTGAGGGTCACCCTCGCCTGGGCGGGTGAGAGGCGCCTTTGCCCGGGCGGATGAGGGTTGCCCTCGCCAAACGTCGGCGAGGGCTGGCGAGGGCCGCTAGACGCTAGCGAGGGCGCCCTCGCCTGAGTTTGACGATCTTCGTCGGCCACTGGCGATGGCTGGCAAAGTGAAGAGACAAAAAAAAAGGAAAAAGAAAAGGAAAAGAAAACATAGAAAAAAGAAAGAGAAAAAGAGAACAAAAATGTAATTGACGAAAATGCCATTTGGTCAGATAGGTCAGGCCCTTATTTGATACTGATATAGCCACTTCAGACCCTTATTTGAGAAAATGAGAGCACTTCATGCCCTTATTTGAGACAAAGTCCACTTCAGGTCCTTATTTGAGAAAACGAGAGCACTTCATGCCCTTATTTGGAATTTTCCCTTTAATATATGATGTGCTATAAATATCTACTACATAAATTACTTTCCTATAAATAAACTATCATATATGAAAATAAAATCTAATTGATGCAATTTAAAGTATGATGTAAAATTAATGAATCTATTTGTGAATATGAAAATTTCCATAAATGTACTCCTAGATATATATATTTTTAATTTTATCAATGAAACACAATCTATCTCCTTTTACTCGCTTTTTATTATTTCTTGTTTTTTTAATAAAAACTAAATTAAACCAAAAAAAAAATCAACTAAGTGCCGAAATAGATGTGAGCCGAAATCTCTACGTGCCGAATGTAACACATAATTTAAACACCGAAACCAACACTTTGCAACACGACACCTGCGTTTGTGAAATGACTATTGACCTCAATTTGGGACTTTTCAATCTTAGACTTCCTGCAAGGACAATGTTAGTGCACACCGGAAAATTACTAAGGCTGAAGCGCCATAATGATGTGAATTGAAGCGAAACTAATTCAAACATAAATTTGAACATACATTTTTAATTTTGCCTGACGCGGTTGAGGTTTATTTTCCCGCCTTTTATTTACTTAATTGATTTGTAGTCATTATTGATTAATTTAAATTTTTACTACTAGCTCACCTATACATAATTAATCACCTTTCCACGTGTTCAGAGGATTTAGGAAATAATGAAATTGACGAAGATAGCATACAAATGTTTTCATAAAGAGAAAAGATACCATAAGGGTATTAAATTAATCTAGCGTAACCAAATTCTTATATTCAGATTCGCAGGTTTGTAGAAGCAAGATGGATTCCTATATTCTATTCGGGTTTCTAATAGGCACATAATTGATAAATGGCGACTCTCGAATCTAATCTTGAATAAATTAATTGTGAAAACCAAATTAAGTACTTGGAAGGGCCCGTATTAAGTTCAAGCACCACATCGCAAGAGGGATTGCTCGTGCCCGCTTGGCAACCTGTCAAATTCCCTCGAGACATTCTTGTCCCCTCGGGAGGTCGCGACACTAATAGACACATATATGTTATTTTGACCTTTTTAATCACATTTATAATCGATCACTATGCACAGATCTAACCAATTATGGAGGCAATCAACTGGAAAATAAATTGTTATGATGGACATCTTTCCCGACATTTTTTTTCCATTTTCTGGCATCTTAAAACGGTGGCGGCATAGCTAATTGTTTGGTAAATTACACTTTAAAGCAGCGATATTTACAAATGCCGCCAGTTTGGGACTACACGTTGAAATGGGGGCATTTGCAAATGAGAACGTTTGGGCCTTCTAGGAGATAAGTTTAGATCGTGAACTTACCCTGAATTTTAGACGATCTCAATCCTTAATGCTTGTATGCAAGATGATGAATATGCATGAATCCTTGATCGATGTGGTTGCATGTACAGTCGAGTAAATTTATAAACGATGCATGAATATAACTTCGAAAATAAGACAACCTGTTTGTTTCTTGACTTATTTAGACTTGGGATTAGTTGGAACACGGTATTTTTACGACAAATGTGCAGGCGTGCTGTAGATTTGAGGAAGCAAAGAAAGGTTCAAACCACTATGTCAAACAAGCAGAAATTCCGAGCTGAACCCAGTCTCACATTGCTCTTCTTTTGGGCACCACCAGCAGGGGGACATACTTTCTCATGGTCACCCCCACCCTATCTCTCATGTCAATCGTCTTTGCATCAATGCGGCCATCAAACTCCCAATTGAACTCATGAAGCAGCGAGCTCAAAGCCAGATGAAGCACGCGATGTGCCAAGGGTATGCCGGCACACATCCTTCGACCCGATCCAAATGGAATGAACCCGTAGTGTTGACCCTTATAATCCAAATTCGATCCAATGAACCTCTCAGGCTTAAAAGCCATAGGGTCTTCCCAGACATCCGGGTCCCTACCAATTGCCCAGGTATTCACAAAGACCTGCGTGTTTTCAGGTATGTCGTAGCCCATGAAAACGGTGTTGCCCATGGCCCTCCGTGGCACGAGGAATGGGATTGGTGGGTGGAGCCTGAGTGTCTCCTTTACAACTGCTTGCAGGTAGGGGAGCTGGTCTATATCAGTTTCCTGGACCTTTCGATTGGACCCGACAACCTGGGACAACTCTGCTTGGACCTTGACCATGGAGTCCGGGTCCCGTAAGAGTTCTGTCAGTGCCCATTCGACAGTGCTGCTCGATGTTTCTGCACCGGCCAAGAATATTTCCTGTGATGTCAAGAGGAGAGTATGTGAGAGCAAGCATGGCACAATTTCACAAAATGGAGCCATATCCATAAGTTTTTCTAGGATAAGGCAATGGAGCCATAGCCATACCTTTTTTCAAAGATGTAGCAACTGCGGGAAGTTACACCAAGTAGGCTACTAATTTACCACAATACTTTACCAAATAATTTCATAAACAAATTTTTACACGTCTAATATTGTCCTTGTTGACATACTCTGAAACTTGCATTTTTCTCACAATGGTTCTATCATTTTCTTGACACATATTTCACAAGGCTAAGAACCCTAATTGTAAAGCTAAAAGGTTATATTGATGGATGAATGCCGATCTTCTTTCAAGTAAAGTTATAGGTAGAAAATTGATTCATAAAATTGATGAAGATGATGTGTTATACATCAAGGAGATAATTAAATAATTAGGTGATATTGAAGCAACTTACAAGTATCCACGGTCATGTAGGGCTTTGTCTATTAATTGTGTTGTCATCCTTCCATAAGTACTAATGAAACATTTTATACACGTAAGCAACGTGGATTCTCAACTCTACGCAATACTCCCCCAAGTATTTGATAAATCTCAACAATCAATTTATGAAAAATGACAATTGTTTCTATCTCTCTCTCTCTCTCTCTCTCTCTAGGATGAGATTCACCAACACCATCAATCCAGGTCCAAATTTTGTTCCACCATTGCCGGTCTTTTCATTGCCCTTGTTGCAAGTAGCTGCCGAACCCGCCTCTTATCTCGAAATAGAGAGAGAAAAGGAAGAAATTTGCTTGCAGACTAGGTGGTGGCTTTGGATTTGATGATGGTCGACAGCATGGGGCCATGACCATGCCCACTTCAAAGACGGCGACGGAAGCGACGGGGTTGAGCACCGAAGAACGGGAGGATGCAACGGCATGATGGTACAATTGTATTTGTGGAAAATGGAGATAGAGCGAAAGGAAGAGAGGAGAAATGGGCCTTTTTATTGGGAATTTCAAGGCTTGAATGACTTGTGTAAATTTTTTTTAATTATACACAATTGATCTTTTTTATTTTTTTACATTAACACTGAAGTAATGATGAATTGAGTCACTTGTAGAACTTAACGGTTACACTAATCGGATATGCATGATTAATCTTATTAATTTGGTTTTCAGCGTATGTTTATTATGACACATTTAATCCACCCATCAGAAATTGATTATGATGAGTTTTCTCGTATGCAAACCATTAACATTAATGTACGTGCGTGCAACTGACCGAATGCTGGACTCATCTGTTGTTCCCCACATACTCAACTGTTAGATTAGTGCAACCGGTCCAAAAAACACACAACCCCGACAACGCGCCAAGTCCCCTCGTCTCTTTCGCTCACTCTCCTCCAATTTCTCTCATCTCTCGTACCACAACAGAGACCGCCCCAACTTCTACCTTTGCTCTGCTGCTGCACCAACCCCCGTCGCCACTGCATGTCTCCACCCGTTTGGCTGTTGCACAGGGTTGCGACTGTCGTGGCTCATCCCCTCCTCCCCCTCAATTCTCTTTTTCCTACCCTGGGCCGTGCCACCAAAGCCCCCAACCTTGAACCGCATGCTCACAACGACAACTTCCTACTCAATCCGGTGCCATCGCGACTTAGATCAACCAAGATCTGAGGTTGTCGAAGCCTCAAATGGGTGCTACCGTGCTAGTATCTTTATCGACCTCGGATCAGTCATTTGGGCTCTGCAACTCTCTGCCACCGAACAAGGAGGAGCGGCGAGGCCAAAGAGGGAAAATGGAGGAGAGAGAGGTCTACGAGTAGAGATGAGGTGAGAGAGAGGGATGTGCGTGAAGGCCGAGGGTGGAGAGAGGGACAAGAGGCGGGCGCAGCCGCAATGGCCGTCTTGCGGTGAGTCCGGCAATGACTTTTTTTTTTTTTTAATCGTTAAAAGGAAAACAGCTTTGACCACCCCCAAAAAAAAAAAAAACAGAAAAAAAGAACGGTACTCTGTCTCTCGCACATATACACACACATATTAACTGTTATGATCCTTCAAGAAAGAAAGCAGAAAGAAAGTTCCACAAACATTAGGACAACCCATGACTTTTCAGAAGCTTCTTGATTTATTTGTCCTAGTTTAGTATATCAATTACTATAATAACAGTTTTAATCTTTGGTCTCAGGACAACTTAAATTTCTTTTCCATGGCTGAAAAGATAAAAATTCAGTTAATGCATGTAGAGATGAATCGACACACCTGTAGCCTATGCAAACGAATTAATCAATTCAGGGCAGGAGTTTCGTTACTGCGTTTTGTTTGTCATGCAAGAAAACAAGTAACGCAGCATATGCACCTATGATCTATCCCCTACACATATTATTGGACATAAACATCCTTATAGAACTAGCAATTCAGAGTTTGCGATCGTACCAGTATTAAAGTTTTGATTTGCTTCTCAGAAAGCTTGGCCGGCTCGTCCTTACCGTTTCCTTTGAACTCAAGCAACACATCCATAAAATCCCTCTGATCATCGTGTCCCCCGATTTTCTTCTCCTCAATCCTCTCCCTCACAAAATCCGAAGCAATCCTCATGGCCTTCCCCATATCCCGATCCATCTTCCTCCTCAGCCCTTGTGGGTCCAACCACCACAGCCACGGGAATAGGTCTGCGATGGTCACATGACCTGACCACTCCATCAATCCGGTCATTGCCATGAAGAACTCCGATCCAACCTTTGAGTCCGGATCGAGCAAATCTCGGGACAACATGAGATTCCCTAGCAAATTGAATGCCATGAGGAACACGAAGCGTGCGAGATGAATACCTTCTCCAGGTCGGACCTTATCCACGGACGCCGCCTCCCCGATCCATGTCAACATTTTGTCGACACACTTTCTCCGGATTGGAGCTGTTTCATTCAGCCGCTTGGTGACTAGCATGTCCACTGTCAGCAGCCGCCTCGACACTCGCCAATATGTGCCGTATGGGGCTAGGGCAATGGATCCCTTGTAGTAGTCGTGAGATCGCATGAGATCAGTGATGGTTCGCTCCGCAAAATTGAGGTCTTGGTTCTTGAAGAAGTCGGCTGCAACTCTGCTTGAGAGAATCACCATGGTGTCTATGGAGCCTAGTCTAAGCCAAATTACCGGGCCATACTTTTCGCGGAGGCTGGCCAGTGTTTGATGAGGCATCTTCCCGAGATTGAACATGTTGCCAAATATCGGCCATCCGGAGGGTCCTGGAGGAAGCCGGTGTGACCTGGATTTTTTCCGGCAAAAGTAAACAAATGAAGCAGTGGACACAAAGAGGATGCAGATCAGTACTAGAACCGAATTGTTAGGTTCAGTCATGGTTTGGATTGGAGTTCTCCGATGAGCTTGTTCGTGATGAACGTGACTGATATAAGCAGCAAGGTCAACTGGACGTTGGAACTTCCCATACGCGTGAAATGGATGTTCATTATTTATTAATATTTAGTTTAGTATTGTTATTATGAGCTTAGTGAGTATCTGCGTAACTTCCGAAGGACATTTAAGCTTACACATGGGCTTAACTTGCGCTCAGGGATGGAGGGAAGTAATCTTTTTTATGCGGTGTGTGGGTCACATATCCCGATAAGTGAGGAATACAATATAAGTAAAAGTTGAAAACTAATGAAATTGTCTCCTGCAGCTGTACTTTGGACTTGCTGGAACATATAAAAGCACCATTTTGTTGTTCTTGTCCGTGGTCTGCGCTCTGCGTTAGGAGATGAGAGACGAAATTTAGACTTAAAAAACCTGCACGCACCTGACACGAGTGTTGAAAGAGTTGAATAGGATATATTTACTATTCCGTTCGGGCCGGCGCATCTCAGGCTTGGAAGCAGGCGGGTACAGGAAGCAACATTATTGTAGGGGCGGGATTGAAACTGAGTCAAGTTATTCGGGCTACACGAGGATAAAATCATCTGATTAACGGTCAAGCTCGTCAAGTTCGAGCTCGCCAAGTTCTAGTTTCATAGGTTCGCGAGCATAATCAAGCTTCCCTATTTTTTTAAAAAACAATTATTAATAAAATGGACATAAATATCTTGAAAATTACATAATATACTAACATTATTAGAGCTTTTTTAAGATTGAATTCAAACTGGAGCTTAAGTTCCTCCACAAATTAATTGTTGTCAAGTCTAATCTAATATATCGATTTTCCAATTGAGTTGCCCTTGAGCTGCCATTGAGCTGAAATTTTAATACCAGATCAATTTCTAGTCGAGTTTGTAACATTATACATGCAAGTCAAGTCGAGCTGAAGTTTGACCCTAGATTGGCCTGACTCAATTCAATTACGCCCCTAGTAGTTTGTCAGTCAATAAACTAGGTTGGATCAGGTTTCGT